AACTTTACCTTCTATACTAAGCTTATAAGATCCCGAGATAGGGCTTTAGCTAGTTGCTTAGGCCTTTAATTCCCTAGTAAACTAGAGATATTAAGTAAAATACTTGTTTCGAGTTAGATAGGTAGAAGTATAAAGCTTACTAGAGTAGGTTTTATACAAATTATAACAGGTATAATATTGGCTTTGCAAATAGCTCTTTTAGTTAATTATAGTAGCGTAATTACATATAATATTTAATCTTCTTTCCCTTCCCCTTCCCTTTCCTCTTTCCCTTTTGCTTTCCCTTTCTCTTTCTCTTTCCCTTTCCCTTTCTCTTTCCCTTTCTCTTTCCCTTTCCCTTTCTCTTTTCCTTTCTCTTTCTCTTTCCCTTTCCCTTTTAGTATTCAATCTTCGGAGTAATATATAGTCTCCCCTTACTAATTAACTAGCTATTTCTTATTACCTGCCTTATCCCTAATAATGCCTTCCTTAATCTCAAATATACTACTCATATTAGTCTTATCTAGGTCTAGCTTCTCTAGGGTAGCTAGATAAGAAGATTATACTTTAATAGTATACCGTAACTTATTAATATCTATTATAACTTTAAGTTCGAGTATACTCTTATATTTCTTATTTTCGAGATTCGCTTGGTATTCCTCAAGAATACTTCTATACTCTTTAGAAATCTCCTTTATACTATATATAAGAACCTGCTCTCTATTAGGGCCAGTCCTATATTCTTACTCTAAATTAATCTTATTCTCCTGAAAATCCAGGAAAGTGTTTATCTTATCTTTTGTCTATAGGAAGTATATTGGCTTTATAGTAATTAGGGAGCGGGCTTCCGTTTTTGAATTATATAGGGGCCGCCAGTTTATTATATTTTCGTAGTTATATGGCCTTGACTAGTAAAATCCTATAATACTCTTATACTAGTCTGGATATTGAATATTATATTAAGATAGGCCGAGAGATTTCCGGAAACTAGTATCTATTAGATCTTTGCTACTAGTCCTGGCTAGATAACCCTAATACTAATACCTATAGTATTTATATCGAAAGTATATCCCCTTAATAGAACTGGCTTTCTTAATATTATCCTGGAAAATAGTATCTGCTTTTTATATTTAAACCAAAAGGTATACTTTAAAATGGTATATATTAAGGGATCTTATAGCAGGTTCAATTTCGGCTTTAGCTTTGGATTCAGATTTAAGAGGCCTTTTTAATAACCTTTTAGTAATATATTCTGCCTCTCTCATTTCTCTAGTACGGAAAATAGGAAGAAGAGGTCGTAGTAGTAACGGGGATCTGCGAGTATAAGTAGTAGATAGTCTAGCTTATACTCTCAATTAAATATTCAGGGAGAGTATTAATTAGAAATCGGGTATTAATTAGAAATTTTAAAAAGGTATTAATTAGAAATAAGGTATTAATTGGAAATTTTGAAGGGATATTAATTAGAAATCGGGTATTAATTAGAAATTTTAGAGGGATATTAATTAGAAGTAAGGTATTAATTAGAAGTAAGGTATTAATTAGAAGTAAGGTATTAATTAGAAGTAAGGTATTAATTAGAAGTAAGGTATTAATTAGAAATCGGGTATTAATTAGAAATTTTAAAGAAGTATTAATTAGAAATAGGATATTAATAGAAGTTTTTAAAGGGGTATTAATGGTTTATTAGGAGAGCGTTTAGGGATAATATAAGAGTCATTAAAGGGATTACCCTTAGGTAGTAGTAAAGTCTTATTATTACTAAAGCTAGTAAACTCCTCTTTATTTGGCTTATCTCCTATAATATCTATATTAGAAACGTAACTTACCCTCCGTTTCCGCCGGCCTGGTATCCAGGGCCTACTTAAAGGTATTTATACGTTCGCTTTACTTGGCTATAGTACTTGGAGGCAAGGGCAAGGAGTACTTATACTAGATACTAGTAAGGAGTTTTGAGATCTTGAGTTTATATAAGACTTTTCTTACTAGAGCTAGTATTAAAGCTATTCTTAAGTATTTAAGGGATATTGGAAGTTACTGACTTCCTATACTAGCCTCGTAATTCTCGTAGGGCAGGACCTTGAAACCTTTATATAGCTAGTATAGATGCTTAAGACTTCCCCTATATCCCAATAGAGACTATATATTAGTGCCTTTCTAAAGCGAGTTTCGCTCCCCTAAAGCTCAAGCCTCTTGCTCCGGATAGCCTTATAATTCGAGATGAAATCGGTCCTTCTTATTTATTTACAAGTAATTACCTAAAGGTTATATATAGGCTATATATAATAAGTCGACTTATATAAGTACTATTAAGGGTCGAAGTCCTCTATATCCAATTTCTTCCTATTAGCCTTTCTCTTAGCAATTTTATATATATAGATAATTCCGTACTATCTAGTAAACCTGCTAGTATACTTATTATTACTTTCTAATTATACTTACTCGTATACCAGATCTATTACCTTATATAATATCCGGCCCCTATAGTTCGAGTAGAAAGCTTCTGGAATACGGAGTTACTATTACATTCATTATATAGACTACTTGCCTTAAAGCTGGATAATTTGCCTTATAACCATATTATAGATCTTTTCTTAAAGATTAAAGAGATTACTATAATATCTACTAAGATCTAGTTTAATTAAAGAGTATAATTCTTTTATAGTATTCGAGATAGTTATATTAAAATACAAATACTAGTTAACCCAGAACCTTATAAGCTTCTTCTTATAAGGTATAAGCCACTAATCTTTAATATATAATATATAACTAGTATATAATATTTGGTTATACTTGCGTTTTATCTCTATTAGATTCTTAATATATACTTCTTTAGTAGTAGATTAAATAATTATATACTATATAAAGAAAAATTCATTATAAGCTATAACTATTATCTTTAATACCTTACTTTTCTTACCTTTAAAAAAGCTTATCCTATAATTTGCCTCTATGTCTTAATTAGTATACTAACTATAAAGGAGGTAAGCTGCCTCCGGGAAGATCTCTGCTATAATAGTAATAATAATAGGAGTAGAGTTCATTAGAATAATAAAAGGCATTATATTTGGCTATAGACTATATATAGCCCGTAATTACTAAAGGGCCTAGTAGTAATCTAATATTATCTCGCTACTTATAAAGCAGAATCTAATATAAAAGGTAGCCCTAGTAGTATCTATTTCTTAGAAAGAGTTAGCTATATATATACTTAAAATATAGTAGACAATTATACTAGATTATAAAAATATAGTAAATAAAGGTACTATAGTTTTATAGGAATAAAAAGAGTAAGTAAACTGAAAATATAGTAAACGTATATACTATATTATAAAAATATAGCAGATAAGAATACTATATTTTAAGTATAAAGTAAGGAGTTAATAAGACTTCTTACTAACTATATCCAAAAGTAGTATATTATACCGGTTCGTTTTATAAGTAGTATCCAAAACTAGTATTACCTAGTATATATAAAGCCAAGCCAAGGAAAGTCAATATATAAAGAATATTAATATTACTACTTCCTTATTATTAAGATAAATCCGAGAAATAAAGCCTTTTTCCTTAAGATTCTTGGCCAAATTTTAATAATTACTCCAATTATAATATTTAGAGATCTTGCTTTCTTTAATAGCCCTTACTATTATTTCACGTTTAATAGTCAAATTATATTACTTAAGAAAAAAGGTTATAATATATCGAAATATAATTCTGGAATTAGAAAGCACTTGAATAAGTTTCATTATCTTAATATTAAGATAGTAGCAAACTAGATAGTAGCCAGGGTTATTGGGAGTATTAAGCTAATAATTATACTACCTATATTCTTTGTATTCTTAATAAGATAATATCTATTTGCGGTTAGGGCCCTCTTTATAATTTATTAAGAAGAAATAGCCTGTTCCTTGAGCCTTAGTATTTCTTTCTTTTCCGTTATTATTTCGTATTAGAAAGTTTCGAGGCTCTCTCTCCTTCTCCCTTCTATTATATCCCAGCTACCTTTTTACCCTAACCTGGGAATCTTTTCCCGGTATCTTCTTGCTTTGCAAAACTAAAAGGTTATATCTATATTACTTGGCCTAATCTCTTATATCTTTCAAAAGCTCTTTAAAACTATTATATATGTTTTCGGGAGGGAGTAGATCCTCTTGGACGGTATTAATTATATCTCGGAAGGGTTTAATAGGGCCGGAAGCAAAATCAAAATCTGCTATATATATAAGAGGTAGTATGGTAGCAAGAAATTCTCTTGCTATAGGTTCGAGAAATTCGGATTCCTCCTTAATACCCTCAATAATCTCATTTAAAGTAATCTCTTATTCTCCTATACCTAGAGGGTAGTAGTTATTATAAGTATATAGTATTTGAGGAGTGCCCTGAGGGGCTATTAAATTGGCTAGAGGTATAGTAGGTAGGTATACGAAACGTAAATCAAAGTATAGAGGGCGAATATATTATAATTTCAAAATATAGTAGATAAAGGCGCTATATTTTTGGTATAGAGTAAATTATATAGAATAATACTTGGCTATTATATTCGAGGCTTTTGTAAAAGAATCGAGTTGTAATATTAATGAGGTTTAAAGGTTTAGTAGTATTATTTTATTAGGAATATTTAATTTATGCGATTCTAAGGCTAAATCGGTTCCTTAGTAATAAACTCGGGGAAGGCCGAGCACTAAGCCAGAAAAAGATTCTGCCATCGACACCCCCAATCGACACCGGGGGGGGGGGGGTCGTTTTACTTTTTCCTAATCAAACGAGCATTTTTTTCTCTTAATCGGCCAGCACAGACTACTTCAGACAATTTAGCGCCTTATATATCTTTGTGGGAATGTTTAATCTAATGGTCTAATAGTCAAATGGTCTAATTGTCTTTATATATCAATTTTGTTTAATTTCCATTAGATATAGCAATTGTTGATTCAATTCACATTAACTTCACATGTAACCGGCGTACTTCACAATAAAAAATCCATCCAATTAAGCAATAAGTTCAAGAGGAAAAGTTTCTCAGGAATCTTGCCACCCTCCAATGCCCATTAGCCTCTGCCACTCGCGACGGGGTCCATCCTATATTCGTCTTCGCTTTCCTGTTCGCGCCTCCCGAAACCAACAACTTCACGATTTCCAGGTGCCCATGGCTTGCCGCAACAAACAGCGGAGTCTCTCCATCTTCATTCTTCGTCTCTATGTTAGCGCCGTGCTCCACCAGCGCTTTTGACGTCGACTCGCGATCATACCACACAGCAGCATGCAGTGGAGTCCACCCGCCTAGTGCCTTGACGTTCTTTTTAGCCTTTCTATCCAATAGCAGCATTGTCACCTTCTCGTGCCCAGCCTTTGCAGCGGCGTATAGAGGAGTCTTTTCGTCTCGGTCCCTCGCTTCTATGTCGCTGCCCTGATCTAGGAGCAGTCTTGACACTGCGTCGCGTCCATAATGCGCTGCAATATGCAATAGCGACTGTCCAGTTGTGGTCCTGGCCATCTTGTCGGCGCCACTGTCAATCAGCAGCGACATCACTGCCTCATGTCCATTCTGAACCGCACAATGCAGCGGGGTGAGTCCGTCTTGGCTCTTCAACTCCATGTCAGCGCTGCTATCCACCAGCAGGCGCACGATGGTTTCGTGGCCGAACCAAGCTGCCGCATGGAGTGGGGTCCAGTCCCCATTAGCCCTCGTTTCCTTGTTAGCCCCCTTTTTAACTAGTAGGCTGGCTGTGGGTTCGTGCCCGTAGCGAGCCGCAGTATATAGCGGAGTCTTTCTCTCGTTGTCTCTCGCTTCCATGTGGGCTCCTCTGTCCACAAGTATCGCTGCAGTGGACTCGTATCCTCGAGATGCAGCACTATACAACGGTGTCTGTCCGCTGTAGTTCCTTGCGTTTTGGTCAGCATTGTTGTCAAGAAGAATTTTCGAAACAGCATCTTTCCCGTGATATGCGGCAATATGTAATGGTGTTCGGCCACTAGCATCCTTTGTTTCTTTGTCGATTGATAATCTCAGTAGTAGCTTGAGTCTATCCTCATCCCCATAAAAGGCTGCGAGATGCAATCTCGTCCACCCCGCACTATCTGTAGGCTCTTGACTTGGACCTTTGTCTGCCAGGTGAGTTAGCAAACACTGTTATGTAGCCTCCAAAATACGTCCTAGGACAACGGGTTGAAGAGTCGAATTCTACCTTGCGCCCTTGAAAACCTCGCGCGAATCACGTCAGGAGCAGCCATACTGAACTCCTCCAAGCAGGTTCGGATGTTTTTGTAATTTTCGTCCCACCGGCTCGAAAATTTGGCCATGTCAGAATGGTTTTGGCGGATGGGAAAATCGCGATAACCCTGATCATTTGCGGGACTGTCTGTCGCTAAGCTCTTAGGGACAAGGATTTCGTAATCTCCTGTCAGTTTCCACTTCCCAAGCGCTTCTTGCTGTAGATGCCAGAATTAGCAGCCAATACAGTAACATATATCAAGTCCATACCTTCGCCACTCTTGTTCGCTCTGTTTCGTAGACACAGACAATTTGAGAATCTTGAAAGTCGAACGCAATTCGAAAATCTCTGTGGAGATCTCTCAGATAAACTGAATTAGACCCTAGACTTAGTATGAGGTTCTCATTTGGTTGTCCTTTGACCATGGATAGCCAGTGATCGACTCTAAACCCTTGATTCGGCACACCGAAGAATAGCACGGCGTAAATAGACTTGAAAATCTCCTGGCAGATTTTGTCTTCATCCTTCATTAATAATATGGCCTCGCAACTAGTTAGAACGGTCGCGCATGAGGTTTAGATGGGTGAAGGGGCGGTACCTTTTTCAAAATTATCCCCCCGAGGCTGTGGGAAATAAAAATCAAAGGCCGAGGAGTAACTCCACCCTGTCAAAGTGAGCTTTCAGGACAAATTTTCAAACAGTGCACTGACCCTGTCGTGTATTCTGATACTTCTCATGCTGATAAGAAATGCAGTGGCAATATCTTCAACGCTTTGGAATGTTTGGCTTTGGATTAGTTTGGAGTTGTAGCCGTACGAGAGAACACGGGCCCCTTCCAGATCATAAGGGAGGCCGTCCCTAAGCCACATATGCTCCCCATTTCTCTGCTTCCAGGAGCCGAACGGGTGGCTTCCGAGACCAGTAATTGCAATGCAGCTAATTTGGGTCAGTGATAACTATCTCCAGATTTTGGGGCGTGGTGGATGAATATATACCACCTACTCTATTTTATGATCCGAGGCATCTCTGACAGAATTCAATGGTGTAAACCCCGAGAAATGGCAGTCGACTGTGAGAGAAGAAATTATGCCTAGAATGTTCGACTTTGTCACGGGGATAGTCCATTCGTCCTTGCCGTCTTGAAATCTATCCGGGATTTGCTTGAAGGTAACAGTAGCTATCTGGAATTTTGTTGTGTAAGGATCGGCACTCAGAGAGTGGACAACAGGTTCCGAGCTCTCGTTTTCCGATTGCAAAGCTGAAGAGAGGAGTGTTCTGCAGTCTTCTCTAGTAAATGTGGCTGGTATTCCCTGAACTCTGTATGTCTTGCCATAAGACACGTCTCCGCCAGCCGAGGGTGCAAAGTTATCCCCTCGAATTTCCATACCCAGACTCGGGGAACGGTTGACTTTGTTTGAATCCGAGGGATTTTCTTCCACTTTCTCGCAAGGAGGAATATCGCCAGCCTCTGTAGAAGTTGGCATCACTTCTGCCTCGCAGCTCAAATGCAGGCTCTCCTTGTCTGTATAGGTAACTTCGGATGGAAAAACAATCTTGCTCTTTAACCTCTCCTCCATGTCTGCAAATGCTTGATATGCGGGAATTATGTATGCGATGGACTTTCCTGGGTCACCTGCTGCGATGTAGCCATACAGTCCCATGTTGTTGGCATCGACTACCCACGCCCCACAATCGCCAACCTCTGCGATAGTATGTCAGAAGAAATGAGAATGGATGCGATGATTATGAAGAAGAGTTGTACTGGATACTCACGCAGATGTCCATCAAGATAAACTACCCACATTTCCTGGAATGCCACACATGGCGGTGACTGCATGAAAGTGGGAGTTTTGCCAATATACCCAGTTAAGACGCCATTATATGCTGTCCTGACCAAAACTGCAGCTCTTAAGGCTACTGATGGAAGAAAATGTTTGACCCGAGCTATCTTTGAGGATAGTTTAAGGTTAGAAATGACGCTCTCTGACTCTAGCCGAACTAAAGCCCAATCAAGGTTACTCGACGACGAGGGTGAAGATACAGCCAAGATTGTGCCGATCATGTTCGTTGTGTTTGGGTCAATTTGGTGGCCTGTGAGACGAAGTGAGCCCTGCCTTGGAGCACTAGACGATTCTGAGGGAGGCATTTGGGGAGCGACGTCATCAAAACCGTCGTTCGAACACAGTGTATCTTCCATGTCTGATCTCGGTGATATGCTGCCTATGCATCCATTAGTTTTTACTGGGTTCATCTTCGGCGGAGCGGTACAAAGGGTGTACCTCGGCTTGTTGTGTTGACAAATTCCATATTGCCATCACCAACAGTCTCAAACTCTTCGTCAAAGTCTAATGAGAATTCTATAGCCTCGGCATCCTTCTCTGCCGTGTCTATAAAATCCTCTGAGAGAACATGGGCAACAGTGAGGCCGAGCACTTCTATTCCCACACACAAAAACCCCCCAATAGTAGCCTTTCGAAAATGGGAGTTATTGACCATGACCATGACCGGAAATCCATACTCGGACAGCACAGATTTCGTAGAGTAAACCGCTCCTCGATTTCCTTTGTGCTGATTACCTTCACCCATCGGAATGTTCTCTGTTTCTCCATGTTCTCCAAGCTGTAGAGGCTGACAAGAGAGCCTGGGTGGGTGTGATGAATCGCCAAGCGCGACACAGGGATAAGGATCCAACAGCGAGCTCTGCCTCACAAGTTTCAAGGCTCGTTGTCGTTGTACCTTGTTGTCGCAACTGAACATGATTGTAGGAGTCGCAACTTGCTCTGTACGGCCAATCATGTACATATCGAAGAGAAGAGCTCGTGGGACGCAGACTCCTTCATTTAGATATTCGTCTCGAGACTCAAGAAGCTTCTTGATCGGTCCAAACAGGCTTTCCGTGATTTCTTGTGCTGGTCCTATGACTTCCCAGCATTGATGATTCCCCAGCTGACAGCACCTTGTACCAATCGACAGTTCTGGCCGAGGAAACCGGGGTCTGCGATTAAAAGTCGTGACCCCCAGTACTCGGCGTGGGAATGAACCGGTCCGGGTATTGCTGGAAGTGAAAGACATGGATTCATAGTTTGGGGGTGGCAATGAGACGTACTCGATCCAGGAGTGGAATTTTATAATCAAGGGAAGAGAAAATGGAAGCAAAGAATCAACTCAAAGTGTGCAGGCTATGAGGTCTAGACAGAGACCAAAGAAAAGAGGGGGAATCTCAACGTGCCTGTTAGCTAGCACTGGGCCTGCCTTCGCTTGCGTCCACTAATCACGCGCACTGGTCTTCGTCACCGCCCTATCATCCCTTTTTCTCATGCACTTCGCCTCCACAATGTGGTGGCATTGCCAGAAGAACTTTCAACAATGGTGTGTTACACAAATCAGTTTCCGTCCAAAGAAATTCACACATGATCTGCTCACATGTCTCGCCGCTGGATTTCTCGACCCTTTAAGCACCACGACACATATCAGTCACCCTCGAATCATACAACTATGGAGATGACTGCGATCACAAAGGATCCTACCGATCCTACCCTTCTCATGCATGATCTCACACTCGAGTCGAAATGCACAGTATTGAATTCAATCTGGGGGTCAAATTTCAAGCTAGAAGATTTTATACGAGAACCCCAGCTTGCCGAAAGTTATTTCGCCTACTACCACGATCAATGCAGAACCGCTTTGCACTCAAAGAGGCTGAATACAATTATAAAATCGCATTCAGACATCGTTGACATCGTTACAAAACTGAAGACTATGAATGCACGTCGACATGATCTCAAGGACAGCCTTAGTGTTTTAGTGGTAGACTTGGTCGAACGTGATGGCGATACACTCGTGTGTGAGGCCATTGACTTGGCCGCCAGACTTTGGATAATGGTTGATATTGGACAACTGTCATGGGGCTTTGTTCCAGGCCAAAAATCAATGCAGTGGGAAGACGGCAAGTTGACAGAGCTCCTGCACAATCGCTTCGGGGATCCAGGCCCATCGAAGCTAGGGATCAGAGTTAAGTTGGAGAGGCTATTTACAGCACGTAATCTGGAACGTATTGCAGGGCTCCAGATAGTCTGGACCAGCAATCTTTCGGATCACCTGAAGCTAAAGGATGACGACACAAGGGTCGCGATCTTCTATCACGCAACTTTCCTCAAACACCACAACAAGGAATGTCACCCGTTCCCACCTGGATTCTTTGAGGAGACAGAACGAACGCTCGCACTTCTAATACCCCAATACGACATAAACTCTACTCGCTGGTTCAAGATTCAGCAGAGAAAATTCGGACTCGATTATATGGCGTCGTCTACTGGCCATCTCACAACCGAAGAGCGTCAGATAGAGAACTTTGTCTTTTGGCATGATCGACTTTGCATCTTGAAGCAAGTTTTTGACGAGGCTGAGCCTGGTACAATTGCCCAATGGTGGTGTGATAGACGACGCAGGGTCCAGTGGTATACGTTCTGGGTGGCTGCTCTTGTCCTTGCTCTGACAATTTTCTTTGGAATGATTCAATGTGTTGAGGGAGGTCTACAAGTGTACAAGGCATACTACCCGTCGTGAGAATGTAATGATTCTGTGTTTGTTGGAAGACATTCAGGAAATGGAGTTTTGAAAGGTTGGTGATGGAAAATGGGCACCTTGTTTCAAGTCCACTGTCAGGTTTCGTTAAAGATTAAACACATGCAAAAGATATTCAATCTCGAGGATATTGGGAGATCGGTTGAGAGGATGCTTTTAATTTCACATTAGGAGAAGATGCCGAGATAATGTCCCCGTTCACCAGGTTCCCCCACATAATTCACAGGTGTGGAGAAAGCGGCCGATCTTTCGATCTCCATGCACCGCCTCGGGACGGATATTCCCAATATCACACTGGCACCTATTAGCTTTCACGCTACAGCAACTTCTACTTGAACTAGACAGAGCGCTAGTTCTGGGAGTTCTTAAGCTCATTTTTACTAATATTAGGACCTTAATAGGCTAGGGGCAGCCCGTGACGCGCCGAAGGCGCGGCAGGGCGTGTGGGGCACGGGACACATCTGCGTACGAAGCACATCTATATTTAAAGTATATTCTCTACTAATACTAGGAGCTTAGTAGGCTAGGGGCAAGGCGTTCGGCGCCTCACAGGAGCGTATACCTTGAGGATTATACTTCCTAAGCGAAGGTAAGAAAGGCACGGAGGGACGTGCGTCTTGCTCACCTTCTGTGCGCACGCTACGGGCTAAAAAATAGCCGAAAAAGAAAGTCTTACTTTACGATAAAATTACAGAATTTAGCTTACTATATGCGGGGGAAGGGGGCTAGAGGGGGATCCAATTCTCAATTGCATAAGCACCCGTTCTAGGGTTTACCCAGAGAGGGTGCTTATGTATCCTCAATCAGAGTTGGCCTCCTGTCATTGCCGTTTTGGGCGTACACCCATGTTTTAGGAATGCTACGCGAGCGAAACAGGGATGTTACAGGGATTGGCAGGGGCACACTCCTTTTGTATCCATTATCAGCTCTAGCTGGTGAGGATGTTCCAGATGAAAGAAAAAGAAAATAATTACTCTTGTTTAGGTTCTCAGGTGTTTAATAGTTTCTTCACTTCATAGGAGCACCTTCCATCTTCTAAATACACGGAGAATTATATGCTCGATGAAAGTATCGAGATATACGCAGCAGAAGCTTAACTTTTCTGAGAAACGAGTGGGACTCGCATCAACTGCCGATCCACACCCCACCACTTCCGTGCTGAGGTTTCTTCCAAAACTCGCATTAATAACACTTCACCAAATTGTAATCATATACAGATATCCCCCATACCTACATCTTATTGACGTACTCAATTCTAATCAAACTTCCATAGCTGTTCTCCCTTTTCTGCTGCAGCCGTATGCGAAACTCCATTTAAAATGCGCTTTTTTCTTAGCGAGGACCAACCAAAACGCGTTTTGCAGGAACCACGATTTTACAACCTACCGAATACACTACAATCTCTGTTTTAATTACTATTTCTCTTATCGATTTGATAGGGACCAGCTCCCTATTGATTTAAGGTAAGGTGCGCTTATCCTAGAAGCGTAATTATTAAGCAGTTTAAGAAATCGGGGGGGTTTTTTTTTGCTCTAGCACGCGATCTGTGCACGCACGTTCCGCAAAAACCTAGAAGGGTTCCCTGGTCAACCGGCCACCTTAGTCAACTGGCCACCCACTCACTAATTATTTTAGCTTGCAAGTTTGTTCGATCAATCTTTAGTATAGGGGCTTAGAGCGAACCCCTGCTCCAAACTCTTACCCTGTAGAGCACCAAGGGTCAAAATGCCCTGTATTCCCGATACTTTATGCCCGATCTCCGTACTTCCTGGTAGTCGTAGCGATTTCAATTGTGAGCCTTTGTGTAAAGGGGCGACTGACACCTCTTGTCGCGAGAAGAGGCAGCCCCTTTGGGCACCCACCAAAAACGGGGGCGGCGGAGGGGGACTGGGGAGGGATCAGATATCTCGGGCGTGGCCGATGAAAGCATACGTTAACAATCCATCTCACGTCATAGTCACGGTTTTGAACTTGAACAAAATATATCAAGGTTTCATAGTAGAATTTCCTTGTCGACTCCTTAATAATAGGCTCTTGCTGAAGCTTGAAGGCCCTTGAAGCACAATCCCAGGCATCTATACGGGCTAAATCTCCTTCAGGAATCCCACCTCGACCATCTTGTCTGTCGGAATCCTAAGATTGGCCATCTTGTTCCTTGTATTATCCCTGATCCACAAAAAGATCCACAACAATACCCTCCTGGCGTAATTCGTACCCTCCTTGATCTTCATCTGCTCTTTGCCCATGATATAGAGCACATTATGCGCGTATGCGGCCTCAAGTCTGGCCAATTCTTCGCTGTATCCCTCCTCACTAACCACTTCCTTTTCTATAGGGCCGAGGACCGTTACGTGGTTCGTAGAGTTAGCCGGATTCTCGAGCGAAGGGGTTCCAGGTGAGTCTGATGAGACATGTCTTTGAAGAGGGAAATGCTTCTCCCCCAGATATCTGCGAATCTGGTCGGCGACGACGGACGCAAGATTTGGAGTTATGATTTCGTCATTATAGCCGTAGCGAACTACAAGGCGGTAGCAGTTGGGGATTGCAAGCCGTGAAACCGCATGCCGGTTCTCTGGCGCCACCGAAGGAGTCTCAAGCGGCCGTAGATGGAAGAAAACAACAACTTCTGGCATCGCAGTAAGCTTGAGAACGAATTGGCTAAAGACTATTGGGGTAGTCTCGCCGGCCTTGTCGAAGAAGATTCCGAAGCCCTTAGTAGTGCTGAGAGGGATGCGACCAAATCGATCCGTGAGACGAATCTGGCCATCTGGACCGGTCGTAACAAAATGCGAAGTGGGAAAGCGATCCTCAGCTTCGGCAAACCATTGCTGCTCTTTGCCAAATCTCCACAACAGTAGGACGAAGGCGAGAACGGAGGCGAGTGTGATGGTGAACCAGGCACCAGTGGGGACCTTTGTGAGCGCAGAAGAGAGGTATGTACCATCCAAACAAGCAATTATGATCCATGGCAGGATGACTTTAAAAGGGCTGATGCGCCACACAAACATAGCTGCCAAGGAGACTATACATGTATCAAAGCTGGTCACGAACATAACGCAGACTCCATACGCGTTTCCAAGAGATGTAGTCTAAAGACGGAGTTAGGGTTTGAGGCAACAAGAATCGGCAGCCTGACTTACATTGTTATAAATCGATGCTACCATTATTGTTCCAATCATGAGGAGCCAGTTCGCGACGGGAATATAAAGCTGGCCATGGAAGATTGTGGAAGTGTGGATCACTTTGATTTGTGGGAAGTATGAGAGCTTCATCACTTGGGCAAGCAGCTATAGAAAACAGTCAGAATCGATTTCGTGGCTCGGTTCGCGGATTCTCACCTGAAAGGTTGCAGTTATGATGGCCTGTGAGGCGACAATGGCGGCCAGAATTGCGATGACTAGGGCTGGGTAAATGGTTCCTGGCGGCGCCGCATTGAAAAATGGGTTTGAGTATGCCTCTGGATGGACGCTGATATAAGCTGCTTGCCCGATATACGCCAAAAGCAGACATGGAAACGTGTAGCATAGCCAGCTGAGCTGAATCGCTCTCCTGCTGAAAGCACCAAGGTCGGCGAAGAGAGCCTCGACCCCAGTGAAGGCCAGCAATACGCCACCCAACATTCTCCAACCCGGTTCCCCGTTGCGGACCAAGAAATCAAACCCGTACCCGGGGTTGAAAGCTTTGAAAACGCCAGCGTCATATTTGGCGAGGTTATATATCCCGAAAACGGCGTTGAACCCCAGCCAGATGATAACAATTGGTGCGAATGCAAACGTGATGTTAGTAATACCGAGCGGCTGGATGATAAATAGGAGGACTAGAATAGCATCGGTGACCCCGATTACGGTCCCTTTGGAGATACTAGGATCAACGACCTCGATTCCTTGGACAGCTCCCAATACTGATTGGGCTGGTGTAAGGAGGCCGTCAGCTATGACCATTGTCACTGCCAATACTCCCATAAGCTTGAGAAGGCCCCTTGCGAATCTGCTAGATTCTAGGCGCTGGCGCACATGTTGGCCCGCGCGTTCGAGATCACCGGACAAATGTCTTTGAAGTCGAACAAGGGAGGCCTCTCGTGGATCACGGTTGGTGATGTTCATCTGGAGGCACGAAAGTCAGCTTCGCTTTTGGAAATGGGAATGAATCCTACATAACGACTAAGCAGTGAATACGTGCTAAATGTCCCCCCTTCGCCATCATTATCCGCACGGAGAATGACGATCACGTACTTCACCGTTACCATCATAAACAGGCTCCAGATGATTATCGAGAGCACTCCAATGAGGTCTTGACGTGAAGGCGCCGAGCTGAATGTCGATGAGTAGACGTAGAGAGGGCTGGTCCCAATGTCGCCATAGATGACTCCGATTGATTGATAGGAAAGCCACAGAAGCAACTTTCCCTTGAATACCTACTAAGAATGAGACAGATGTTCCACACAAATTAGTCATAGGCTCGGTTGGTACCTGCTTCTCCTTAAAGTCACCCGGTGTTCGCAAACCAGGGTCATCGTCTTCTCGATCCGTCATGCTCATTCTGCTACGCCTGTTGGAGGAAGGAGCCCTGGACCGGGAGCGAATGTTGTAGATGTCATCGTGAAGGCCGCTTGCATCTGATCTTGAGAACGACCGTCTGCCATAGATGCCATCCCCTCCGCCAGGGGTAACTCCATCCTGCAAATTGGGGCGTAGATGCTCAGATTTCGGGTGTGGGACATCGGCGATTCTGATCGTTGCCATGGCTTATGATGGAGAAAGACAAGGAGGGGCAGCCCTCGGGACGTGCAAGCGGATGTACACTACACAGCGGTCACAGCTGGGGCGTAGATATTTTTGTCTTGAGAAGAAACAATGAAGGTCTAAAACCAACATTCTTGACGGTGAGAAGTGTCATATCTTTAATAGCAGGTGGGTTTGTGGACGGGGTTGGCATGTTGGGTTGACGTGCCGGGTTAACATGTTGGGTTGACGAGGGTGAACGGCATTAATCCCGCATAGAAGGGTTCTTGGCCTGTGGCTGGCACTAACGCGAGTTCTCCTTATCTTAATTGCGCCTGCCCAGTCATTCAGTGGAGCGCCGATTAACGGCATCCAAGGGGCGGGACCGAGGCATGCCGCCATCTCCAGAATATCACTTCCCCGAGCCGCTAAACCTTCTTCCAACGCACGTTCATGCCGGGAAGCGCGAGAAACTCTAAACTCAGCCAATCACTCCCGAATTAAGAGTCAGCTAGGAAGAACGAACATCCAACGAATATGGAGCAGGGGTCTTTTGAGGGATTTATTATCGGAGAACGAGGGCTAGGCTTCATGATAGAGGGTGGATTGAGAGTGGGGTGGTCCGACAACAATGGCTTGCGTGCTTGAGAAAATGTGAGTGTCGTTTCAGAAGCTGATAATCTACGTCATCCCACAGCCCGACAAAGGGCTACATTACCGAGAAACTGCGTTCTTGGCCGTTATCATACGGAAAGCCGTAAGGATCACATCTGCCAGCGCAACTTCGAACTTCGAACCCTACCAAACATCGCTCACGCCTAGCACGCCCCTCCTCTCCTTGTGCCTCTACTACTACTTAAAATATTCACACTCTCTCATTGATTCTAGGCTACAGAAGCATAAGGGCAGGAGAGGGGGGATATTAGGGGAGAAAAGGGGGGCGAGCGCACCTTCGTTCGAACTTTCGAACTTTGCACGTGCCTACCCCGGAAGGGTTCACTGGCCAAGCGCCCCAACTGCTCAACCGCCCACGCCTACCCCTCCAAAATTTTGCCTATTTTTTTTAAAGTGCTTAGAAATTTTTTAAAAACTTCTAGTATTACAAAAAAGACTTTAAATAGCCCGTCTACAAGCTTAAATTCTTTAAATTATGGCGTTGTGGTCAAACTGCGGTTTCGGGCGGGTTCGCAGTTTGGGCGTTTGGCCAGTGAGGCCTTCCAGGGTGAGCACGTGTAAAGTTCGAAGTTCGAAGTTGCGCTGGCACATCACATCCTTACGGCTTTCCGTAGTTATCAGCGCTTATAGGGCTTATTGAGCTTCCCGAGTCACGTGAATATCCACGTGATACAAACAATCACATGATCGTTAATAGTCGGACTTAACGTCGCGACTAAAGGGGCCCAACCCTTTAGTCGGGGAAAGCGAGTTGTCCCGGGAAAGCGAGATGTCCCGTTTCGGCCTTTTTTGCCTTCTAAAAAACAATATTAAGAACTAGCTATAGAAAATCCAATTAATACGTTTTATTCGCGATCTCATAATTACCTATTGCATACTTAAGGGCTAAAGTTTTAAGTAAAAGAATAAAAATTTATAATTAAGCAAAAGTCATAGGTTTAATACTCGCGAACAAATAATTCTTACGATTTTTGTATTCCTCGCGATTTTATTATTAAAACCTTAATAACTTTCTACCCACATCTTTTTTTAAGATTTAAAGAATTGCATTTCGTTTATAAGGCTTATATTTTTAATTCTATTACTTAGAATTATTTAAAAAGGTTAAGGTTTCTCGTTATTAAGGATTTTATTTGGTGCGGGACATCTCGCTTTCCCGGGACAACTCGCTTTCCCGGGACAACTCGCTTTCCCCGACTAAAGGGTTGGGCCCCTTTAGTCGCGACGTTAAGTCCGACTATTAAATAGATAGCATCCATGGATGTGACCGTTGAGTCACATGGAGAGTGGACACGGATATGGTCACTTGAGGAACCGTGTGAGGAGAGTCTTAAATGCTTGTTTCCCATCCAAAAACATCTCCTCAAAAGGAGATCTGCCTCACAAGAGCTATGCTTTCCACTCCTTTTTCGGTCAAGCCTGCCTTCTCCTCCTTCTATATCCGCCTCCTTCATCCCTTCACACTTCGAAAATTTACAAGACAGGCCCAACATACTTCTTCCTCCCCAAAGCAAAGAAGTAAACCGTCCCAATCGCAAGCCAACTGCCCATAACCACAACCGCATAATTCATATTCTGAGGTGTGACAGGCTGCACACTCGGGAAAGTGCTGAAAGTCATCGCGACAACCAGCCACCCAAGCGCCACCGTATTCACAACTGGTCCCAATACAGTGCCCATACTAAATGGTCCAAACTGCTCTCGGTTCAGCTTCTTCCGGCCGTAAAGCACCATGTAGATAATTGGGAGGATGTATGAGGCGTACATCCCCAAAATAGCCATCGACAGAATCACGTTAAACGCCGTGCTGTTCCCGAGGCAAAGCAATCCTAGGAGCATCTGGGACACCGTAACTGCAATGATTGCCGGGACAGGAACCTGCAGCTTCGGGTCAACACGCGCGAAGAGTCTCGAGCAAGGCGCTGCAGAATCCCTCGCAAAGGCCCAGAATGTTCGGGAGGTCGAGGTACAACCCGCAGCATTCGCCGCCACCGCAACAAGGCTCACAATCAAAATCAGCACCGTAGCTCCCGCTTTGTTGCTTGTGATATTCAAGAAAAGTTGCATGAACGGAAACCCGGTGGGAGAGGTAAGCAAATCGTTGAGGTCGCCGAGCGAGAATAGCAGCATGATGGCAAAGCCTAATCCCATGACGCCATTCACGAACACGCTTCCCACCACCGCGAGCGGCACATTTCGAGAAGGGAGAGGCATCTCCTCTGCGAGATGGCACGCAGCGTCGTAGCCTAGGAACGGGTAGATTGTGCTCAGAAGGCCGACAAGCCAGCTTGTCCCGTCACTCGCCCAACCACTCGTATTCGAGAACTCGACGAAGATGAAACGTGCATCGTGTTTCGGAGCTATGACGCCCATTACTACCATGATCGCCACGAAGCCAACGACATGTATGACCCCTATAACCTTTTAGCTAATGTTATAACTGAAATTCCTGTAGAGGAAAGGGGTGTACCGGAAGCAAGATTCGTGTGCGGCAGCACTCTGCTGTCCCATATATTCACTGCCGCAGAATACACCAGTACAAGCCAATAAAACAACATCCCCTGCCACCGTGCCGGTACACACGAATCTAGATTGTTTAGCGTAATCAAGGCTTGGAATTGCAAGCCTGCAGCGAAGGCCGCGGAGGCCGTGAGCGCTGTCTGGCCGCCGATGGAGATCCAACCTGTGAACCAGGATGCGAGGAGTTTGTGGGATTTCGGGGCTAGGACGTGAACCCAGTGATACTGTCCTGATTTGTGTCAGAACTTTCTCTCGAGCATAAGAATTAAACATCTTCCATTTGGTTTGTGCGAAGGGAAGGGGAATTCACCTCCTGCTGTAGGCCAGGTTGGAGTAATCTCCGCCAGCGAGCAAGCAATCGCTATTGTGCCGAGAAAAGTGATGATACTGTTGCACAGCCTGGTCAGATTTTTGGAACTGGATGGGACAAGAGGGGCATCATCTAACTTACTAGTTGTAGAACAGGCACGGCGCGCCGCCGTTTGTGAGCGCTGCTCCCACGACGGAGGTCAATGCTTCCCAAGTTCCCAACAAGCGGAGTCAGAGCGAGCCGAGAGACCACAGAGAGAAATCTCTTCGCAGCTCTTCTGTGGTGCCGCGTTCTGGAAGGGCTTCCTCGTCGCTTGGTGAGGAAGAGGCCGATTTCTCGGAGGGCATTTTGAGGGTGTTGTCTACGGGAGTTAAGGAAGTCATTCTACTGAGGATTGATGATTGAAAGATTCTGGAGACATAGAGGGAGATCTAGGGAAGGGGATGCATGCAAATTTATGCTTTATTTTCTCATCTCTTGTCCTCCCTATCTTGACCAGGGAAGATTCAGAACGGAGCGATTCCGCACTGCTACACAGACCCTCCTCCCCTGACGGGCTGAGACTCCGCACCAAGATACCACATCCTGTCGGTGGGAAGCTATTTGAAAGTTAGCTCTGTCCGGGATATAATAATCGGGTAGATAAAAGAAGCGTTGAGGGGGGCCTTCGACTCCGGAAAGAAGAGCGGGTTGGACTGGGCCGGACCGGGTACGGCCAGCGATTTCGGGAATGGGAGCTTATCATCATGAACGCTCGTTGAAATCCAATGCCGGAAAATAATTAGAAAGCACGTAGAGCAAAAAAGTGGCACGTGAGAGCTAGAAGTCAATCCTGTTCGACTTGAGTATTCGGCCAAGATCAACAATTACTTACCGTAAATTAAATATTTGCGGTAAGGTCATCGAAATAACGTGATAACTGCAAAACAAGAGAAAGATTGAGGTACGAACCGAGGAGTTGAATGGAAAGATAAGAATCCTGAGAATAAATTAAAGTTCTTAATTAATATGGCGGTCCAGGCGCTGCCATAGAGGCTGCAATCTAATTACTTCGCGTCCAGACAACAAATATTTTCGTGTCGCAAAAGATTCTCAGGTTGAAAAGTTGAACTGTTCGGGATCGAAACCGCCGTCAAGAAGGCCCCGAAGCTGAACGTCAAGCTCGAAGAATTCGTCCGTTGCATCACCAAAATCGCGTAGGAAGCCCCAGTCATCCGGTGACGGCACCAAGGTAGAGGAGAGATTTCCATTGTCTGGCATGCGAGGCGGCACTGGTGATAGTGTTTGACCAGGAGGTTGAGGGGCAAGCGGTGTACCAGGTCTCCATTCGGGAACCGTACGTGGCGTTTGCAAAGGCTCCTGGGAATTTCTTGGCAAGTCGAACACTATACAGTCAGCAACTTGTCTAGAACATTGGGATCGATACTCACTGTCAACGAGCAACTGTTGACGAGCTCCAGCGCTCTTCCAAGACTTGCTCAAAGCTGAAAGCCAATGAATACAAAGTTTCAGTCGTCGCTGAGTGTCGGGCTCCTCCGCTTTAGAATGCTTCGATTGATACAATAGCGTACTGGCAGCTGTGAAAATACTGAACACCATGTCGCAAGGTAGGCCAAGGAGACGGTCGAAGTATTGTTCCAGGGCGAAGATAATATGGTTGGCCGCTTGAAGGCAGACAAGCTGTGGGCTTGGCATGGATTCTGAGGCACTTGGATTTGATGCCCAACGAGCGATGAAAGGGCGATGTAGTAAGATCGTTCCATGCCACATAATCTACTCTCGTTAGCATTGAATGGAGAGGTGAGCAAGACAACATACAACATAGTTCGTTACAGAGGCAGGCACCGAGGTAAGGTTCTTGCTCAGATCAAGTCGCAGGGGCGACGCATCCATCTCACGTTCCCAATCCTGCAAAACGTACTGAAGTTCTTGTCTTTTGGCTTCTCCAACTGCTTGATCTTCACGAATCCGTTTGCGAGCAGCAATTCCATATATCTCCCTCGCAATTCGCTCCATAATAAAGCTCAATTGAATGGTTGTATGCAATCCAGAGATGCTGCGTAACTTGATCGGCGTATTTAGAAACGGCGCTGGTCCCCGCCCGAAATTCATTGACATCAGCTCGAATTCATCTGCTTCGTCCGCCGAAGGGTACGGACAGTCTGTTTCCTCTCGCCTCAGTAACACCGGCCTACCCATCTCACAAGAGATCATCTTCTCAAGTACGTAAAGATTCCACCAAAGCCGAGAATGAACCTCGCCTTTAATTGGATCATTTGATTCCAACGCTCTGTGCAGACGCATCTCGATCGCCATCGCGGACGCAAGACCACAAAGGATCGCAGCTCGCGAGTACTCCGCAGTTCCATGCTGTTGAAGAGAGAGTATGGTCAAGACCTGACAATTGGTGATTGAAGGTGTCAGGACATTCCCAAACTGCTGTGTACCGCCTTCGCCACTAACTTGCAAAAGTTCCAAGGCTTCCTCGATGAATTGCCAGGGCTCTGGGTATTTCTGGACTATCGAATTTGTTGCCGGTTGCGACCTGTCAACACAGGAAGCTATGGAGAATATCGCTGCAACCAGCGCGGGCGGGATGGCATCCGTCGGAGCAGCATAGTCGAGGGACGCGTAAAGAGGCTTGTAGAGGAGTGGCCACAGAGGATGGATGCAATTGAAGTATGTCAGAAGCAGTCTTGTCGAAACCTCGGCCGAGACCTCGCGGATCCCCCCTCGCGGCTTCCGTCCCTGTGCACTCGAGGCTCGGTCCGCAATCGGCTGTATGCTATTGATTGGGTGGAATGTGGGGATGTTGTCGCGATACGCGTGCGAGACTGGGGCTCGAGGACGAGGACCTTCCGTATCGAGGGGTCGTGATCTGCCAAGCTTGTGTCAGCTACATTTTGTCCATAGTGTCGCCGCTTCCCGTGAAGTCTATATCCGCCGCGAGGCTCGGATCTGGATCGAGCAACCAACCTGCGTTTCGACGTTCCGTACGAGCACTCAATGGCTTTGCCTTGACAAGGACTGCATGTGGGATATAGTCCGTCACACTGCAACGGCAGGTCAGTTTCTGCGGAAGTAGGCAGGCTGCAGCACAGGATCGCGCACCTTGATCTTCTTGACCCCGCATGGCCGGCACGCCTGAGACACGCGTTTGCGGGGCGGTGGAGTCGCCATTGCTCTCGGGAATGGAAGGGAGGCGATTCGGATGCTGTGGGATGTCTTGTCGCAGTTCTGGGAGGTCGTGTCTCGGGAGTGGGAGAGGAGAGGCGAGCGGGCGCGGTTCTTGAAGGTCGTCGAGCTTCCGGATAAATCACGGCAGAAAGTGAGTGCTACCCGAAGCGCCGGAAGCTCGGTCCGATGCTGCCCAGGGGTCGGAGATGCCCCACGTTATCAGCACTCAATTGCCCCCCTTTTCCTCAACCACCCTTTACAATATTAACAATGGCGAAGATGTTTCGTATTGTTCTCTAGGAGAAACCTTCCACGAGACTCGTCTAAGCAGGTATATTTCTACTGCCTTCGTTTGTGGGGGCTTCTTGGGCTCCGGCGCCCCCACGCCCTTCAGAATCGAAGTAACACAACAGCCAACTCCGAGTTTCGTTTGCGAGTCGGGCCGAGCAGGAAGAAAATATCCCTATTTGCCAGCTGAAGTCGGATCTTAAAAGCCGCCGAAGAGTTTCAGTCTTTTACAACTACGAGGGGACTCGAAGTCGAAAGAACCTTGCCTTACTTGAACATTGGAGAAGTGAATATGCAACTTTCGCTTGGGCACTGGAAATCCCGCCAGTTCTTCTCTGCTGCTGGAGCAACCATTGAAAGGCCTTCAAGAGGTCCTTGTCATACTGATAGCTTGACCGCAGATCTCCACAACGACTAAATCCGTGTGGTACACCAGGATATACATTCACACCAACCTTGACCCTTTGAATTGGTCAGAAACATGATCACAAATGACAAGGGACTAGAGGTTTTCACTCACGCAGCTCGTTTCAATTTCTCCTCAAACAGCAGTGCTTCATCTCTCAGCGGATCACGTCCGGCAAGCGAGAAATGCGTAGCTGGAAATCCAGCCAGCTCATCCTTAGGAGCAAGCAGAGCACTATAATACTTCTCTCTCTGGGCTTTCACATCAATGAATTCAATGGACTAGTTGATCATGCTCAACGGGAGAATTAGCGCATCGATATTCTTTTCGTAGGAATATTTGCCTAACGCGATGAGCTCTTTAAGGGAAGCATCTGTGTGAACGACATGAGGGAGATCTAGGAACAACCCTTTGATGTGGTTCTTGACATGCTATCTGCTATCAGCAATAAAATCTCTGTGGCCATTGAAGGCACTTGCAACTTCCTTATCACGAAGAGCAACCCCTGCAGCAAGATTCGATCCACCCGATCTCCCTCCAACCAGCACTTTCTCTCGATCTTCTCCAATCATCTCCAAGTCACCAATATCCAACTCAGAGCATCGAAAGCATCTTTTCGCAGTCCAGGCAACTTCCAGTCTGAAGTGTGTCGGTAGCAGACGTTAACAACGATCATACCAACTTTTTCGACGATCCAGGAGCAGAATCCGCCTTCACTCGACAAAGTATCGAAACAATACCCTCCTCAACTGATGGAAACGGAGGTCGGCAGTCGGGAATTGGGAGATGTAGGTGAGGGCTGGTAGGCTTGGAGGGAGACTGAACAAAAAATTGTCACCTTGCAACACGATCCCTGTATTTCTACTTGAAAAGAATAATAGCTCACTAGTGACAGTTATACGAGTCTTTAGAATTTTTTCGTCATACCCGTTTTTGATGCGAATGTTGAGAAGACATAAAACAATAATTTCGGAAGTCTCATCTCACCCTTTCTAATCACGCGAGCAGAATTCTTCTTCAGAATGGAGATCATCGAAATGAATGAATTAACGGTTGAACGCTCAGTATAACTCCATAATAAATCAATTTATCTCTTCTACAACAGCTTCATGCCGGCATATTTACTTGCCGCCACCCTATCACAGTACTTTCTAAAAACGAGAATTCCGCCCTGATACCGCATTATGATCCGCTTCTGCCGAGTTGCCACATTCTTGTTGACGCCAGTCATCCACGAGTCAACATCGTTGGCCAGCAATCCAACAGCACAATTATTGACATGCTCATACCACTCCTCCGTAAGCTCTGGCGTGGGCTCCACCCACGTGATACCGCGTTCGCGGCAGAAGGCGATGAGAGAAGATACCCATGCAACAGCATACTCAATGCTCCTTGGAATGTTCCCCATGGCTTGATGTGGACCCATGATCATGAACATGTTAGGGAAATCCTGCACCGTTATGCCGAGATATGTTCTGGGGCCTTCCTTCCACATGTCTCGCAGTTTTGTACCATTTACGCCAATGAAGTTGATGGCATCAAAGGCTCCGGTAATGGCATCGAAGCCAGTGGCGTAGATGATGATGTCAAATTCATGCTCTTTCTCCGTGGTCCGGATTCCCTTTTCCGTGATGCACTCAAGAGGAGTATCGCGAAGGTCGACCAACTCGACATTTGGTTGGTTGTAAACCTCGAAATAATGCGTTTCAAGCGGTAATCTTTTCGTACCAACACCGTGGTTTCTCGGAATCAGTTTCTCGGCAATGGCAGGGTCGTGGACTCGCGACCGAATCTTATTTGCAATGAACTCACTGAGAAGGCCGTTTGCTTCTTTATCTTTGTGGATATCCTGGAAATTGGATAGGACAATTCCGAAGCCCGGTTCTGCATAGAGTTTCTCCCAGAATGCTTCGCGTTCCTCCTTAGGAACCTCTACTGTTTTTCTCGTGTCCCCATTTCCGTGTATGAAAGCGTTTGAGGTCTCTTTGCACCGCTGGAAGATCTCTGGGTAACGTAGTCGGATCTTTGCCATCTCTTCATCAGATATTTTGGTGTTGTGAAGCGGTTTTGACCAATTAGGCTGCCGCTGAAACACAGCCAAGTGTCCAACATCGCTGGCGATTGTCTGGATGGTTTGTATTCCGGTGGCCCCGGTTCCAATAACTGCCACTCTCTTGTTGGATAGATCCGGAGAATCATCTGGCCATCGGGAAGTGTGAAACGCTTGGCCTTTGAAATCACGAACGCCCGGTACATTCGGCAAAGTTGCCTGCGTCAATGGCCCCATGGCCGTGATGAGATATCTCGAGGTAAAAGTCTCTCCAACTTCGCTCATTAATTGCCAGGACCGACTGCTGGCGTGAAACTGAGCAGCGGTGATTCGAGTGTCAAGCTGAATGTCCCGACGAAGGTCGAATTTGTCGCAAACGAAGTTCGCGTATTTCTCGGTCTCCGGCTGAGGTGAGAAGCTCTCTTCCCACTTCCACTCATCAAGAAGTTCTTTGGAGAAAGAGAAACCGTAGGAAACACTTTCAGAGTCGAATCGAGCACCGGGATAACGATTCCAGTACCATGTGCCCCCCACTTGACTGCCTGCTTCGATCACCTTTACCCGCACCCCCAACTCCCTCATTTTGATGAGAGAGTAGATTCCGGAAAAGCCAGCCCCAATGATGATGACTTCATAGTCGAGTGAAGGCTCTGTGATGCTTCCCATGGCGACGAGGGTTATGCCCGGCTCCTTTTTTTTGTGATGGATGTGGTGCAACGGTTCAGAAGAGTGGGCGCAGGAGTGAAATTCAGCGAGGATTGGGTGTTGAAATATTCTCCCAGTTGGTTTTTGGAAGTGAAAATGATCTTATAATTAAAGATGTTCGAACTCCTTGTGCTCAGCATCCCAATCCGTTGAAGGTATCACTTTATTACGTCAAGACCTTCAGGGTGTACATATCGGATGTTCTGCACTATAGCAACCGAGATCCAAAAGGAGATTAGGGAATGGAGAATGGAGAATGGAGAATGGGGCTGTGAGAGCAAGGAACAGGGGAGTTTGGTAGCACCTAGTGTGGGGTCCGCAGCCCGACTTCCTCGGCAGTCAGCTACGGCAAGAATGGGGGCTAAAAGGGAGTGTGAGTGACCTTGCTAGCTTGGCATCCAGTGATCCTCAACTTGCTAGTGCTTTTCACCTATGGACACATCCAAGTCGTACAACAAGATTCGAAAGGCGTCCAATAGTCAGGGAACAGTTTTGATGCATGGCACCCCTTTCCTGCCCAATTCATGTGGTGATTGGAGCTCCAGGGATATGAGTCCTCCCCGCGGAGTCCCAATTCTTTCCTGAATCTAATTTAATTCAACTGGTTTCAGAAATGAGGCATTCATCGACTTAGCTGCTCCGTTTTATGTCAATACTACGTCCGCCTCCCCCCCCTTCTCACCGCCCATGAAGGGATTACAGGGCATTTACGCTCGCGTAGGGGTCTTAGCGGACTCCAGGGAGTGGCTTAAGGTTTACCACGCCCGCTATGCCTTGTAAATCTAGGCCTAAAGCCCCAAATCAAGGCTGTGAGACATTTACAAGGTCGTGGAAGATCCTCAGGGGTAGAAAGTGGCCTGTAAGTGAACTTGCGGTACAAATGCCCTGTAGTCCCGTCACTTTATGCCGCAATCTCCGTACACCCATCATTCACTATCGAAGAGAAAGGTTTAGGCATCGCCATCGCCATCGCCAAAGAATCGTTTCCTGAATCACAGCGAGCTCGACCCGCTATCTAGGAAACATAGTCCTTAGAAGTAAAACAACCAATACCCAAGATGAATAATCCATCTGGATACAATATTCTGGTTTGTGTATCCTTACATAGTTACACTCGCTGACAGAATTAAACTGAACGCATCCACAGGTTTCGGTAACTGCTGCGTTTGGTAGTTTAACATATGGCTATGCAGCTGCAATTCTGGGCAATGTAAGCTTCCAACTCTCCTTCCGTATCAAAAAAGACGTTGACTGGCTTGTGTTGCAGACGCTCGAGAAAGCAGCTTTCTACGAGTACATGAATCTCGAGCTAGAGGGACCCGGAGCAGCCAACACCACCAGCATCATCGCCTGGTGGAACACTATTCTCTATGTCGGCGGCTTCTTCGCTTGCGTGTCCTACACGGCTTTCGGAAATCGTTACGGACGCAAGAGCGGCATAGCGTTGGGAGCCACAGTATCCGTAATTGGAGCCGTATTGCAGGCTGGGAGTATCAATCCTGCTATGATGATTGTCGCTAGACTCATTGTCGGAGCTGGCATGGGTGTTCTTCTACCTGCTGTGCCACTTTACCAAGCCGAAACTGCTCCGCCGTCAAATCGTGGCTTGCTTGTTGGTATACATGGTGAGCTGTAGAAAACAATGATCTCTATGCTTGGGGCTAATGCTACCAGCATCGCTGATCGGATATGGTTCGATGATCTCCGGTTGGATTGGTGTGGGCTTCTTTCACACTGGAGGAAATGTGAGTCTTCCTATTCATGCTCACTGTTGAAACCCTCGCTCACATTTGAAGGTTGGATGGCGTGTCCCACTCGCGTTGCAGACAATTTTTCCACTGGTACTCCTTATCGTCGTCTGGTTCCTACCTGAGAGTCCACGATGGCGTAAGTTATTGCTTTCTGTACACAAGAAAAGCTGACCGAAATTGCTAGTATACATGCACGACCGTGCCGAAGAAGCCAAAAAAGTTCTCATCGCTCTCCACAAGAAAGCTAGTGATCCAAATCACCTCTTTGCTCAGAAAGAGCTGTTCGTCATTAAGAATCAGATTGACTATGAGAATCAAAACCACCTGCCGATGTGGCAGGCTTTGAAGAAGAGGTCATTGCAGAAGAGGTTCTTGATTGGGTTTCTTTCGATGAGTTGTACCCAATGCAGTGGGCTGCTTGTAGTGCTCAGTAGGTTAAATTCTATTCTGAACAACGTTACCTTTAGCTGACATGTTTCAAATAGCTTACCAATCAACAATCTATCAATCTCTTGGGTACTCTGCTTTCATGGCCGGGATATTTGGTTCCATTTGGTCTGTCCTTAACGGCACTGGTAATTTTTGCGGCGGAATGCTCGGTGATTATGTTGGAAGGAAGAAACTTGTTGGTGCGTCTCCTTGTTGTACTGGCCAGGGACCAAGCTAATATTGGCTCGCGCAGCGGTGTCCCTTGTTATTCTTGATTGTATGTTAATCGTGCTTTGCACCACTACATATCTATACTCAGGAACCGACAACAAAGCTGGAAATACCGCAGCTGCGGTGTTCACGTTCCTCATGATTATCGTGTAAGTCGCCACCTCAATACCGTCCGACACAAAAGACTTAACAGAGATCCAGCTATGCCACTGGGGTTGAGTGTGCCTCATTGGTATACAGTTCTGAGTTGTATCCTGGAGAGTATCGCGCCATCGGTGTTTCTGTATCACTTTCACCAGTCTTGTTTTGGGGATGTATCTTCACAGGTGCTGCTGGACCAGCATTCGCAAATATCGGTGCTCTCTACTATGTAGTGTTCATTGCACTGACATCTGTCATGGCGCTTGTGGTGATTTTCTTCTTCCCGGATGTAAGTGTTTCGCTCCTTTCTTGGGGGGGGGGGGGGACCTTTGCTAACGATGTCCCCAAAGACTAAGGGGTTCACTTTAGAGCAGATGTCTGCAGTGTTTGGCGATGACGTTGTAGATATGTACGGCAATATCGAGAATGCTAAGGACTTCATCAACGGGGATCACAATATCGAGCATGCCGACTTGGACAAGAACACACCTCCGCAGAGGGTGCACATTGAGGTAGAGGGCGAGAACAGTACTGAAACTGTTTAATCCTGGATGAGTAATGGCTTGACCCTATAACGGACGCTTTTATAATCTTACATCGACCGGCTTGGTGCGATAAGGGAATCGTATAAACTCTTTTTGAGGAGCATGGAAAACTCAAAAGCAACTTGATTTCTGGGCAGCATCTTTTTACTCTACAAACTCGTTTGCCTCTGATAGATCGGCATAGACTTCCAAAGCCAGCCCAATGACTTTTACCAGTCGGAATACATGTTGGCTGCCGGTGAATACCTCAGCCCAAATTCTGACCACCGCCACACTCAACTGTTTGATCTCCACACCTCTATTCATCTCATTATTATTCTCAGGGTCGACCGCATAATGAGTCTCCCCAACAATACTGCGAACCATCTCTAGCAGATTCCTTTCGTCGACTGTCAATTCTGGAATGCAGTCTGCAATTATGTGTAGCCATTTGCCTGTCAATTAGCTCTGAGGTTGGGGAGTGAACGAAGACTGCATATACTCACTGAGTAGAAAGGCGCACTCAAGATTTGCCAAGCTGTGCTGCATACTCCAAAGAAGTGTATGTGTATGCGCCACAAACTTGATACCAATCTTCACAGGGATCGACAACGCATGAGCTGCCTGAAGGATTGCCCGGCTGAGCAGTGGGCTGCGAGTAAGTGGCAGAGAAGCCTTCAGAGTGCGCGCAATTATCTGTGGATCTCTAGTATCCAGTCCTCGACATGGGCCAAGGTCACAGTGTAGTCGGATATAGGCCAGTCTCAATAGGGCGGTAGAGCTGAATGCCACTGGCCCATACGGATTCATTGGGTCGAGACTGCTCTCCGGAGCCTTTTCCCAACCAATCTGCCAAAGCCTCAGAACCTGCCCGAACTTTTCAATGTCCGCAGGTGGTAGGCTTCCATTGCCGGTTGGCGGACTGGTCATCATAGAGGCTTGGCGAACAGCATAAATTTGTTGAATAATGGCATGGATGAGAACGTAATTTCCCAAGGAAGATATTGGCGGTATTTCTTCTCGAGTAGCTGAAAAAAGTCTAGATAGGACGTGTTGGAATGAGAGCGGATGTTGCGGGGTATTGCTTTGGGCGAGCTGCCACTCCTCAGCGGATCCTGCTCGCCATTCCTCCGAAGAGTGTGGAAGATTGATCTTCATCTCCGATGTGCGGAGGACTGGAGGAGTGTCATACGCAATAGACTGTAAGTTAAAGAAGCAATATGCAATGCATTTAGTACGGCAATTGCCCTCAAACAGGATCCAATCTTCCCAGCTAGATCCCGTACTCGGATTATCGGGTGCGCGTAGACCGTGCTCTCGAATGAGAAGTGCCAGCTGGTTTTGAATTACCATGGCTTCTCGAAGCAACGCTGGTGGTCCCCACATGCCCATTGCCATTAAAATGAGAAATGTTTGGATTGTGGAAAGGCGGGCTTGTGCGGATGGCGACCTATATTACGACTTAGCTAGAACCAGTGAAATAATGCCACTCAAATTGACTGCAATAATTTAAGTCTATACCCATGACATGACCTGACTTACCGTATATCATTTGAAAGTCCTGTGGCTTCTGAGACGTGATTGCTGCGACTAGTATCATGCGGAGTTTCAGGCGGGGGACAAGATGCTGGAGATTTGCTGAGAGAAGCACGACTTGGCGTGGGTGATGACAGAATATCAGCAACGTGTTGGCTTTGCCGTCTTCTGAGCTGTTCCGAAGCCACCGCTTTTGCTGCATACCAAAGCTTATTTCCCTTTGTACTCTCAAATCGATACATGGCACCAACCGCTGCAACAGCAAGGAATAGCTCAGGAGCGCACCTCGACACGGAAAAGGTTGGGATGTGAAGAAAAGGAAGATGTTGATGGAATCCAGTGATGTAGCCTTCGAAAAAGCGGGACAGAGTATGCCGCGATGGCACACTAAAGCCTTTGGGTAACACATGAGCAAACTTGCTCAAGTTGGATTGGATCTGCCTGTGGTCCTCTCCAGATGTTTTCCAAGGGGGACCAGCTCGAAGAAAGTCTGCTTGAGGAGCAGGCTCACTACTCATGAGATCTTGATCGTGTGATTGCAATGACGGAAGTCGTGAGCCGAGGTGGCTGAGAGCGTTATTTTCACTTCGTGGTAAAGGAATGCGTCTGTTGCCATTTTCAGGCTCCACATTGCCTCCAAAGTCTGGTCTCGACCACAGTGAAACCGGCAACTCGGCGTCGAAGACTGTTGAAGGTAGATAGAAGTTTGAAGTATCGAAGTTATCAAAGAATAAATTGTAGTCCCCTGGGATTTCTGTGGTCACAGGCATGGCGTAGTCGAGATTGCCCATGTTTGGTGGGAGGGTTGAGTCGTTTTCTGCCGGTTGGTTGATGGGGCCGGAAAAAAACCCGGCTTGGATGACTTGAGAATCCTGGATATCATTTGATGCATATTGACTTACAGTGTTCGAGGATTCAGCGGGAGAATTCTGGGGAGCCCAACTTGTCTGTATGACGGCTGGACCGAACGAGTGCTCAGTTTCGGGAAGTTGTGTCTCAATATTTGGAACTGTACTTAACCTTCTCGGATTTTTGCTTGGCTCGATATCATGGACGAGCTTCTCGTGTCGAAGTACCAGGTCTCTTCAAAAGTTATCAGTCAAGCTGTTTCTCTACATGTACCTCCTAGGAGGCGTACCGTCTCGCAAACGCCTTACCACAGGTGGCACACGGGAATGGCTTCTCCTTAGTATGCGTACGCTCGTGGCGTTGGATATGTTCCAGTCGATGGAAAGTATCAGAGCAGTATCGGCAATGGAAAGTCTTGGGCCTTCTCCTGCCACTATTCCCAGACTCGCCGGCAGCAGTTGAGGGCGGTGCCGGGCTGTCCATCTCCTCCCCAAACCTCAAACCTCGCGCAACATTTGTTGGGAGAGCTATTGCATCAGAAGCTTCTGTTGTTACAACGATGCCAGATTGGTTGATCGTTTGTGGATGTCGTGATTACGGAAAGCGATAAGGATCAAGTGATCAAGCGATTTTCGAATCCGGTTTTCAATGTCTAATTTGTGGTACGTACACACCCCACCAAAAATCGCCCGCAACCAAAATACCGTATTTTGCATATGCAACTATTATTATACTCGTATATATAACTTATATAGAGGTAGCCAAAATAAAGCTATTTGCAGTTACTAAATATACCAATATTTGTATTTGTCTTTACTATAATATCTCTAGTACCCCCTTTGCCCCCGCTCCTGCCTCTGCCCCCCCTTCTTAACTACTATTAACCCCCCTTTAACTTGTATAGTTCGTATAATAGATCCTATGGATTACGAGGTATACCTTCCTTACTATTATTATCCTTGCTATTATCTCCTATAATATTCGAAATATCTCTATCTCTATTATTCTCTTTATTCTTATTTTTACTCTTTTCCTCTCTCTCTTCCTCTCCCTTTATTAGTCTCTTTACTTTATTACTTCATTTCAAGGGTATTTATAGCTTTAAAGGTTAAGGTTTTATAGAGGCTAACTTGGGAGAAGCTAGATCTTTTAGTACTATATTAAGGCAGTATAAGATATATACTTTACTACTATTATTATATCTGTAATTATAATAGGCTCGGTTGAATTTGCCCTGAACTTATATATATTTTTACTATAGGCTTTTGGGGTTCTTTTTCGTATAATTAATATAAGATATAGATACTAAATAGCCTCGAGTTTGACTATATATTACCTCTAGATTTACTATAATCTTTGAATTATCCAAGTTAGCTAGCTTCTTTCTAGAATAAAACTTTATATCTTAAACCTCTAGTATTTTATAGATATTCTTTATAACTTGTATTATCTTATTAGGGATATCGAAAAGCTCGAGATAGAACTATTTATTAGTAGTAGTAAGAGAAGGTTATAAGGTATTTAAAGAAGGAAAGGGGTTTAGTAGATTTAATAAATTATTATTCTAATATTTAATTAGTACTATATTCTAGCTTTTTATATAAAGAGAGTATAATTTACTATTCTTCTATAGTCTCTTAAGGCTTGAAACCTTTATACTTGAGCTATATTATATTACTTATCTTTACTAGATAGATATAGATTATTAATATTATTAATATTATATATATTATATCTTTTCTTTCTCTTTAAGGACTTCTTTAGTAATATAATAAAGGATTATATTTACCTTATAGTAGGAAGAAAGACTTAAATAATACTTAAAGAAAGAAGAAGAAAGATAAAGAAAAAGTTAGGTATAATATTATAATTAAGAGAAGAAGGCTTAGTTAGAAAAAAAAGAAGGCCTTTTTATAATACCCTCTTTCCGAAAAGTAATTACAAATTCGGAATTACCTTTATATTATAAAGGCCCAAAAAATATAAAAGAACGGATTTATAAATAATCTAGGAAATCGAATTAACTTTTTCAAGCTCTCTGCCTTATAAAGTAATAATAAATTCGCAAATAGAAGTAAAGATGGGATTAATAAGCTAACTAGAAAATAGAATTAACTTTATAAGTAATAGTATTTACTATATTAGTACTACTTTTATAATAAGGAATTATAGGATATAATTCCGGAGCCAAATAGTAGGTTAGGTAAACTATATCTATAGCTTTACTACTAGTATAATACTAGGATATAGATAGAAAGCTCCTGGTTAGGCCTAAAGAATATAGAATTAGGTTAGGAAGCCTAGATAACTTTGGAATTATATAAATAGCAAGTTGCCTTCTCTAAATTTTATACTAGTTTCTCGAATCCAGGGAATTATATAGTTATATAATACTGAAAATAAGCTTTCTTTATATATAAGAGTGGAAATATTAGTATTATTTAATAATCTAGATAATATAATATAAAAATAAGACTATATTTGGAATTCTGAAATATAGAACTACTTCTATATAAAATTATAATTATAATTACTTTAGTAGTTATAATATTATATTTTATATAAATATAAAAGTAGGGTTTTCATACTAGTATAAACTAATATTTAAAGAATTATATATTTCCTCTCTTTTTTTACTTTTTATTTCAAATTACTATTACTATAACTTATAAACTATACTATATTATAGGAGCTAATAGAATTAATCCTTAATTATAGAAATAGTATTAAGCTCAAATTAAAGAGCTTTATTATATTTAAGAGAAAACTCTTTAGGATATTAGATATATCTTATAATTAGAAAGGTTTAATACTAGTAAGACTAGCTATATTATCTAACTATAATAATGAAATACTAAACTCTTTCCGGATTAATAGCAAATAAAGCTTAAGGAATATCTTTATAATAAAAAGCTAGTTAAGATAATATATTACCTCTAGTATTAGAACTATTTGCCTAAATATATACTTCGGATCTTTAATTATAAACTCAATTACCCTAGGCTTAATATATATACCCTAAAAATAATTTACTACTATTATAAGCTTTAGCTAAGACGAAATTAATTTAATACCAAGTATATTAATACCCTTAAGGAAGCTAAAGAATTCATTCTTAAGGAACTAAAAAGCAGTTAATTAATCCGGTATAGTTATAGGAGAATATATTACTAGGTCCAAAAGAATATTAGTAAATTTATATCTCGTAAGGAGATATAGTAAATATTTAGGATATTAGATAAGATAGAAGTAAAAGTGCGAGATAAGTATAAAGACTAGAAGTATAGGAGATTTATTATAAAGGAACTAGGTTAATATTAGTTTATAAATAGATATAATAAGTTATTCTATTATAGCTTTCAGATCTATAGTATTATTAATATATATTCTCGAATAATAATTAGTATTTTTATTAATATATTAAATTATATATAGATTACTATCCTAAAGTTCTATTTCCTTTATATTAGGGAATAGGGCTACTTTCCAAAAAAGTTACGAGCTAATAAAGGCTAGGAGATACTACTTATAGTAATTATATAAGTCGAGCTCCGGCGGTTAGTAAAAGGTTATAATTTACTATAAAAAAAGGCCTTTATTTATAGGCCCTTAATAAAGAATTAGTATATTAAGATATAATAAAATACCTTAGCTAGTAAACTTATAGAGACCTAGAGATAGTTCTTTAAATCTTTTTATAATATAAGTATCTTTAATAGAGAGTCTTATTATAACCTAATTACTATTCGATTTATTTATATAAATACCTTCTACTAATAAATTAATAACTTTGTTCTCCTTTATAATATTAGTCTAATCCGCTCTTAGTAAGTAAGGGCTAATTACCTCTGGCCTAGAGTTTCAGAAAAGCTATATAATTATTACTAGGGAGTTTGTTATTATAGTACTTCCCTAATAGGAGCGGCTAAGTAATTGCTTTCTAAGCTTAAAGAAGAAATTACGAGATATAATTATATAATATATTAAACTCCCGAAATTAAAGAGCTTTATATAACTTTTCTTAAAAATACCGGTATTATATATAATATAAATAAGCTTAAAGCGGGGCTAGATTAAGACTATATTAGGGTATATTAGTTTCTTTATTATATTCTTAAATTCTATAAAGAGAGAGTTAGAAAGCTCTTATTTAATATTAAGCCTCCTTATAGGAGAGATAAGTAATTAAAGATAGTTTAAAAGGCGAAATAGAGACTAGAGGATATAATTATAGTAAATTGAGGACTAGAGAATATTAAAGAGAATAATCTTAATAGTAAGGTTTCTATAAATAATAAAAAGTAATATAAGGATAATTTAGGGAATTTAAAGAATAAAGGGATCTTGAATAACTTATTTAATAACTAATATTTGGGCTATAAAAGTTTATTTATACTAAGCTCCTTAAAGGCAATATTATAGCTATATATAAAGATATAATTTCTTTAAATTAATATAAGGAATTATATAATTATATAACTCTATAGAATTAGCTAGCTATAAAAATACCTCAAAGCCAGAAACTTATAAAGAGTTTTAAGGGCTTTGGGGTATCCGGACTATTACTAGTATCTAGTACTTTTTAGGAAAAGAGTATAATATATTCTATAATAGGTAACCTATTATAGACTACTTAACCTTTAAGTTAAATAAGAAATCTGAAGGCCGGGCTTATAATTCAAGTCTTATTAAGGTTATTAAAGTCTTTACTAGCTAGTATTATAGATTTAATATAAATATTATAGGAATCCTATAGGTTTTATCCTAATTTATCCAAAAAGTATATATAATATATCTCCTTATTTATTCCGACATTTATATATAATTCCTGAAAGCTGAACTATTACCTAAGGAAAGAATAAGAAGGCTAGACTAATACCTTTAAAAACCAAGGCCTTAATAAGTCTATCTAGAAAAGCTTACTAATTCTTCTAAAGATAACCCAAGCTTTAATAGGCCAGAAAATTTTGAGTTTATTATATATTATAACTCGTATAATCAGGAATAGGAACTTGAGTTCATTATATAAAATTACCTAGATATAGAAACTTCTATTATAAACTCCTCGTTTGGATTAATTAGTTAAACCTATTTTTAATACTAAGTCTTTATTAGGGCAACTTCCTATTTCTAGAGGCTTTAGATAAAGTAACTAATAAGTTTCTTAGCTATTAGCCAAAACTTATTAGCTAGAAAATCTATAAATAGTAAATAAGATTATAAAGCAGAACTTCCCTAATTATAATACTAAGATATTTTACTATAATATAAAGTAATTAGATATAGAAGCCTTATTAAATATAATATATCTCGAATTATAAGTTTATAAGATAGGTATAGGAAGTCTTAGTACTTAACTAGTACTATAGTTTAGCCCGAAGATACCTGCTATCCTTTATACCTAATTTAATAGAAATAAGAAGTATTTATATTTTAACTCGAGAAATAATTAGGACTTTTATATAGATTTAGGGTAGCGGTTTATTCTATAGAA